ACTCTGATTTACATATCAGCCTAAGATTTCCTGTTGCACTTTATCGATCACATGATCGATAAACCATTGTTCCATCATCTGATCGATAAACCTCTTCAACTGATCGAAAATTTCTCACTCTGTTTTTCGATAACCTAATCGGTCAACCAGTAATCGATCACTACTCCGATCAACCATGTCCAGAATGTCTTTCTACACTTTTTACGGATAATTCATTTCATCTAGAATCACTGAGTAATCAATTAGTCATTCTTCCTGGTTCATGACTAAAGCTTACATCGCAAGACTCTTACTTATTTAAGTTTAAAATATGCAGATTACTAAGAGAAATTACAACGGCTCTTCAACGGGATTACAGCCTGTAACCTACAGTGTCAAAAGCTCAAACGCATTAATGGCAGAACTGTTGGAACTGGCGAAACACGCAAACGGAGTCACAACGGCTAGAAGCTCTTCTGTCTAACGGTTACTTAACGATCTCAACTATAAAAGGCGTGAAGAAGCATTAATGAGTGGATTGAATACCGGAACTACCTTCTGTGATTATTAAGTCTAGCATTCAATACTCTGTTCCTTCAATATTACTGAGCGTCAGTATTCATCATTAAAATTCACTCTGTAAGAGAGTCGATATCTATCCTTTATTAATCACTACTGAGTGATACTCAAGAGTATGGACTCTTGAGTGGGTTTGTATCCTTATGGGAGTAAGGGGGGAGTGATTGAGTGATTCAATTACTATACTGAGGCACCAAGAGCCCGATCAATCTTGGTAGATAGTGAAATACTCAGAGGTGTTTTGAGGACTGGACGTAGGTCAAGTGGTTAAGACCGAACCAGTATAAATCTTGTGTCTTCCCTCTGTGGTGAAATCCCTCTTAACTCTATCTCTCTGTTTCTGATATTGTCTCGTTTTAATTCTGTAATTTTTTTAACTCACCCAATTCACCCCCCTCTTGGGTGAGATTGCTTCTAATAGGGGTGAATTGGGTGAGTTATAAAAATTTTAACTGAATTGAAACAATGAAATTAATAAAATTGAGAGCTTTAGAGTTAGAAGGATTTCATCGTAGATCAAAGACACTGGATTTATATTAGTTTGATCTTAACCACTTGACCTACGTCCAGTCCTTAAAACACCTATGAGATTTTCACTATAATCTAAGATTAACCGGGCTCTTGGTGCCTCAATACAGGAATTAATCTTCTCAATCACTCCCCCTTGATACCCGTAAGGTTACAAACGCACTTAAGAGTCCATACCCTTGAGTTACACTCAGAAAGTGATTAAAGATGGTGTATTAGTCTCTCTCACAGAGTAAATGAATGAGAAATACTGAAACTCATTAAAGACAAAAACAGAGTATTGAATGCAACAGTAAAATATTTGCAGAAGGTAGCTCGTGTATTCAATATCCACATTCAATGCTTCATTGCGCCTTTTATAGTTGTAGAAGTTTAATAACCGTTAGATGGAAAAGCTTCTAGCCATTAAGAGTTTGGTTGCATGTTTTCCTTGTTGCAACAGTATTCGCCATTTAATGTTTGACATGGTAGGTTATAGTCTACTGAATAACCATTAGATAACCATTGAACTTTCTTCGTAATCTGTAACAATACTTCAATCTAATAAGTTTTTCCTTCAGAATGAAATTCAGGAAGATAACTAATAAAATGATAGTAATATTCATATGGCAGAAGTGAAGGAAATCAATCAAATATCAAATCCAATAACTATGAACCGATCATCCTTGATGAAAGACATGATCGATAACTAGTTTATCAATTATGTTATCGATTAATTAAGATGAAAGATTTTGAAACAGATAACTATACTTATATAGATCAAGTTATGGATTAACTCATGATCGATCAAGTGATCGATAAATGAAAAGAATGACTTAAGAAAAAATATGTAGAGAAAAGACTCAAGGTCACCTATGATTTTGAAACTCTTAAAATAGAGTATTAAGATAATCAGCAAGGCTGAGAAAAGCTCAAAAAGAAATATTCAGAATATTCTTAAATCTTATCGTAGCTTCTGGTATTGAAAGAGCTGGATCATTGATCAAATAAGTGATCGAAAAATGTTTGATCGATTAATTTATCGATAAAGAAAAGTAAGAGAGAATTTCATTTTCAAGGTACATTGATCGAATACTTTATCGATAAATGGATGATAGAAAATTTGATCGATAAAATGAAGTTTAACAAAGATTTTCATATAGAGCACAAATCCTAAAATGATTAAGTAATCGGTCAAAGATTGATCGATCAAGTGATCAATAACAAAGTAGTCGAGAAGCTCAATTCTGAAATGCCAAGAGCATGTTTGATCGATCATGTTATGGGAAAACAGAATGTTTAGAAGATTGGATGATCGATTATTTTATCAATAAATCGATAATTGATCAAGTGATAAAAAAAAAAAGCTTAACACAGTTTAATTCAATAAAAGGATAATGATCGATCAAGTGATCAATAAAGTATTTTTCAAAACACTTAAACACAAGAAAAATATCAATAAACAGATAAATTATAATGCAATGATAGGACAAGTTATCGATAAAGTTGTGACTGATAAAGTGATTGATAAATGGTGATTAAAACAAAACACAATGAGAGTAGGAAGCTTTACCATTTATCTGTTTTCTCATCGATAACTTATTTATTGATCAAGTGATCGATAAACACTTACTAAAAATTGTGTCCCATTATCTGTCAATTATTCAATCATTAGATTATCGATCAATTGATCAATAATTTTTTGCAAACTTCTATACAAAACTGTGTTAACAATGATCGATCAATTGATTGATCAACATATACAAATTGATTTATCTATCAAGTTATCGATTAACATTTCTGCTAAGTTATTTGATTACACAGAAGCTTTATCTATCATGTGATCAATAAATCTTTGATCGATCAGGTGATCGATCAGCTTACTAAAACACAGATTTCTTAAGTTATCATCAAAACCTTAAATCTAACATAAATTCCTCATTTGACACATTTAAATTAACAAGTGAAATATGGTAGCTCCACTTATAAATGGCCTTACTCCGGTTATAAGTTTCTATATCCTTCTTGTAAATCTCTTTATATTGATTGTAAATTTTCATATTCTATTGGTGAATTTTAACTCCCTAATTTATTTCCAATGGTATTTTTACTTGTCAATGGTCTTACTTTGATTGTCAACTCCCGTATCCCACTTTTGTATCTCCTTATATTGATTGTGAATTCCCGTATTTCATTGTTGAATCTAACTCCCTTAATTATTATGATTGTAAATTTCCGCATCTCTCTTGTATATCTCCTTATCTTGGTTGTAAATTTTTGTATTTTACTTGTGAATACTAACTCCCTCACTTATTTTCAATGGTTGTAAATTCTTGTATTCCTCTTGTATATCTCTTTATCTTGGTTGTGAATGCTAACTCCCTCAATTAATGCCAATGGTTACAAATTCTCATATCTCTCTTGTGAATTCGATTAGTTGTCAATACCTATATTTAGTTGTAAACTTATTTATCTTTATTGTGAATCACCCAATGTTTGTTGTGAAATTATGTATTCTAGTTGTGAATATGCTTAATTAATTTAGTTGTAAAGTCATTTATCTTCATTGTGAATAGTAGCCCATAGACTTGTCAATGATCATGTTCAAATTTTTGAACTAAATTAGGTCACCTATAAATGGACATGTTTTTGTTGTGAATTTATGTATCCTTGCTGGAAAATGGCATATTTTAGTTGTGAATAATAGCTTCTAGACTTGCAAATTGGTGGGGAAAAATAAAAGATTGGAATTAATTGACATGTAATATATTAATAAAATATAATTCCTTACATTGAAATTGTGCAAATTCCCATATTCACAAATTTATACACATTTTGAACTAACTAAAATCACATCTCAAATTGAAATATAACAATTGATATGTTATTGCTTTCTTTTTAGTTGTGTCTTTATCCATTCAAGTAGTTTCATAACAGTAGCTGACTTTGTATTTCTTTTGTGAGTAACAAGTCACCATGACAAGTATGACCACAATAATGAGTACCATCATCATATTCACACAAGTACAACAATGAAATCTCAAAATAATGTTTGAACTCAAGAACATATAATTTAAATCCCACTATTGTATAATAAGGCATGGTAAGATCCTTTCTATCATTCTCTTGTATGGACTCTTCCTATTTTTTTTTTCCATATGGCTCATTGTTAGCATTTGCCATTTTGTTTCGCTTTTCTGAAGTAGCATTTGCAATTGCTCTCATCCCATGTGTCTGCTCTTTGTTACGTTATTAAATTTCAGCATTGAGTACCTTTAATCCAGTAACTTCTTGATAAGTCTCATATTTTATATATGTTTTCTAATCCAAATTTATGCTTTTGTGGTCTTTAATTGTGTTATTTTGGGTTAAGATAGAGGTTATTGTGCATAAGGGGTATAAGGGTCAATTGTGTGCTTTTATATGTTAATTTCTAAGTTTACTTCATTCATTGACTCCTATGTATCCCAAATACCCGAGAATCGATGACTATGAGCTTAATTTGAATATTGTAGGTGATTAGAGGATCGAAGGAACGTTGGAAGAAGGGTTTGCTTATATTCGTCGCGACCAAATATTGTTTTCACTGCGACTAATGATCATCACGAAGGAAACACTGTTGCTTATCCATATGGCGTCGTTTTTAAGTTAGCCGCGACAAAACTCAAAATTTCTAGATTTAAATTCCAGAACGCATGCTAGTTCGAGATTATGTGATTTCTTCCATTTTAGCTTTGTTTTCTCTGTCTATAGCCCTTCTACTTCGTCTCTCTTCACTCCCCTACCATTCTTCATCATCAATCCACCATTTCCACCGATTATTCTCCTCTATTTCCCTTCAGATTATTGCTACTGTGAAGATGAAGAGGAAGTATTGGATGAAGATTTGCAATTTCAAGAACCAACCTCCATAGCTATACCTCGTCTCTAAAAGTATGAAAGAGAAGAGCATCTTAAAGAAGAAGGCCAATACACTTGTGAATGATGAAGAGGATGTTGGAGCTACTAAAGGGAGTCAACCTCACACTCAAGAAATTGGTTGCAATAAGGGTAATGAGGTAAATCTTCAAGAACTTCCTTTTCCACATTCTTATCTTCAAGGCATGAAAAAAGCTAGTTCTAAAAAGAAAGATGATGACTTGTTTGAGTTGTTTAGTAAATTAGAAGTTAATGTACCTTTACTTGAGTTGGCCTTTCAACCTAAATATGCTAAGATTTTGAGGGATATGTGTAAATATAAAAAGAAGTTCAAACCTAATGAGATGGTCCAACCACCCTCCAATGTTAGTGTACTTTTTAAGCCTCAATTGCTGGTTAAATGTCAAGACCCGGGGAGTTTCACCATACCTTGCACTATAGGAAGGACCACTATTCCAAATGCCTTACTAGACCTAGGAGCTGCTATTAATATGATGCCCAAGTCAGTCTATGAGTCCCTAGGTATCACTACTCTTAAGCCCACTACTGTTATGTTGCAATTAGCAGACCACACTATTAGATATCCACATGGGGTGCTTGAGGATGTGTTAGTAAAGGTTAAAGACTTGGTTATTCCTGCAGATTTCTATGTTTTAGATATGTCTAAGAAAAGCATGAATGAAGGTGCATTAATTCTTGGTAGACCTTTCATGAGAACCACTAATACTGAAATTAAAATGAAGGAAGGTTCTATCACTATGAGTGTAGGTGATCATTTTGTGCATTGACATGATTGAGATGACATAGGCATTCATTTAAAAAGCTAGTTTAACCAAAAAGCCAACCTTAAAAAACTAATCCTTTATTGAACCCTTTGAGCCCATCATTTTCATTTCTTCACCTTTGCACATAGAAATGAACTTAATTGTGTTGTATCCTTATCTTTTCTTGAGTTAGATGACCTCTTATATCAATTAAAAGAAAGGTATGACTATTCTGTGATACTTGGTCGCGATGAAGTAACCTGTTAGTCAAGACTAACTCTCCTGAAAGGAGAAAAATGAAGAAAGAAAGGAAAAAAGAGAAGGAAAAAAAAAGTAAGAAAAAGAAAGAAAAAAAAAATATATAAAGAAAAAAAAGGAAAGAAAGGAAGGAAAAAGAATAGGAAAAAAAAAATTATTGGAATAAGTGAGCTTCATGGAGTTGTCTTCTATACTCTTATGCATTCAATTGCATATAAGCATTTGGTTCATTTTGATTTCCATTCTCGTTATCTACCTTCGATTACACCCATGCATTTAACCCTCCATTCATTTGCCTTTCCAACATTACAACCTAATAAAAGTCCTATTGATCTTTTGTGTCGTTGCTACTAGTGGTGGAGAGCTTAGAACCATTACAAGCATATGGTAGAGTGTAGTTAAGTGGATGTCGAGCGAAATTACCCCTAAGAATTGTGAGTGAAATACTTTTTCTTGGGAGGTTTCTTGAGCATTCATTTGGGCTAGTCCTTGCACCATTTGCCTAGTTCTTTCAGCATATGACATGAGCATGGATTTGATGTGAGTATGGAATTGTGATTGCCAAATGTGATTCTTGATGCTTGCATAGTACATTTAGTCATACCTCTTATTTTGCATTAAGTGTTTTGCCCTGGAGTGCAAAAGCTAAGTGTGGGGGAGTTGATAAGTCTCATATTTTATATATGTTTCCCAATCCAAACTTATGCTTTTATGGTCTTTAATTGTGTTATTTCGGGTTAAGATAGAGTTTATAGTGCATAAGGGGTACAAGGGTCAATTGTGTGCTTTTATATGTTAATTCCTGAGTTTACTTCATTCATTGACTCCTATGTATCCCACATACCTAAGAATTGATGATTATGAGCTTAATTTGAATATTACAGGTGATTAGAGGATCAAAGGAACGTTAGAAGAAGGGTCTGCCTACATTTGTCGTGACCAAATATTATTTTCACCACGAGTAATGATCATCACGAAGGAAACACTGTCACTTATCCATATGGCATTGTTTTTAAGTTAGTCACAACCAACATATTAATTAGTCGTGACGAAACTCAAAATTTCCAGATTTAAATTCCAAAATGCGTGCCAGTTTGGGATTCCACGACTTCTTCCATTTTAGCTTCGTTTCTCTGTCCAGAGCCCTCCCACTTCGTCTCTCTTCACTCCCCTACCATTCTCCATCATCAATCAACTATTTCCACCCCTATTCTTCCATTTCCACTGATTATTCTCCTCTATTTCCCTTCAAATCATTGCTGCTATGGCCATGGAAGTTACAGAGCTTGGTGAAGTTGTGATTTCAGTCATGAGAGGCTAGATCTTCATTCCTTGGTGTTCAATGAAGCCAATTTGAGTTCCTGGAGCTATAATTGGGAGTTTTTTCTACTTTAATCTTAGTTTCATTCTTTACATTGATAGATTGTAGTTTCTATGGTTTAGATATGTGATTTGTGATTGTAAAGAGATGTAATCTGGTTGTTTTATATTGAGATTGAGATTTGGATTGTATTTTGCACTCTAATTGATTAGTTGAATTGATATTTCGTTCTGTTATATTGATTCTTTCTTCTCAAGTGTTTGAATCTCTTGATTGGCTGGTTAGGATGCTAGCATTGTTAATTAAGAGAGTTAAATACCTTCTGCAAAACATAATCCATATTAGACATTTAGGTGAGTTTGATGATTTAGGGTTCTAGCTCATTGAATTAATTATTTGTAGAAGATCTTCATAAACCGAGTCTAGTAAAGGAACTGAACTGAATGAACAAAGGAACTAGGATGATTAGTGGACCTGACCATCAAGGATAATTCATACATTGCCTTCACTTCATTCATTAAAATACAAAAATTACAAAGAGTTTAGATAGTTGTACTTAGGTTTTGATATAATCACTAGTTATATACATACTTCATACATCATACTTGGTTAAATTGATATTTGTGATAAGATTACTAAGGCATTCAAAGGCTCCTCAAGAGATCGACATCTAGGTTAGTGCTACTATATTGCATTTAGCTTAGTTTTATTTGAGAGTCTAATGACAGGGCTTTATCACTTCTGTATCTTTTTTCACCATCTTCTTAAACCTGCACACAATTATTATGTCATTAATAAGTAGGATAAAGTGGTAAATTTACCTATTGTAATATTCAAAATGAGTACCAAGTACCATAATAAAGCGTTCGGTGCAAAGATACATATGAACTTTTCAAAACAAGGCAAAAATACCAAATCCGTTAATGGTCCTAAATGTCTGTTACCTACTATTTTTTTGGGTCCCACTTTATCTAGGAGTCACCTCTCCTTCTCATCCTTCCTCAGTTTCTCTTTCTCCTCCTCCGCTTCATTTATCAGAGTCTCTTGCTGGCATCCATCTCTCTCCCTGAGCCACCGTTGCTTTCCAATGGAGAGCTTCACACTTCTTTCTCATTCCATCTCAATTTTCTTCTCTCTCTTTCTCTTCTACTTCCTTCATCCGTCATCGTTCTCGCTCAGTCTCCAGGTCTCAAATCTCACTTATTTTAGGATAGCCGTAGATCCAACTGTCATATCCAGTACTATGATAATTAGGAATAAGAAATATTCCTGAATAATTAAGGGTCAAAAGTGACAAGGAGAAATAGAAGAATTTTAGTGGAAAATAATCATTATAGTTTTCCAAGCTAATTATGAAAAGTTTGACTAATTAAGGAAAATTCATTAAGAATAATTATGGAAAAATATTTTCAAGCCTCAAAAAATAAAGGAAAAATAAGGACAATGTTCCTTGAGAATTATATGGGATTATTAAATTGGTTTTATGACCAAATTGCCCTTAGAGAAATTACAAAGGAATTAAGGGCGATTTAAGCTAGTTTAAGGTCCTTTATTTGGAAAATTCCAAATAAATATTTTTAAGGAGGATAAAATCCCAAAAAAATTCTTGTGATATCCCAAGGAATTATAAGAGGTTATGATGAAATTAAAAGAAGATCCTCAAGTATCCAAGATTTTTCCCAATTCCTTTGAAAAGTGGAAAAATCACTAAAGAGAAGGAAATTAGTTTTTCTTTTATTTAATTATTGGGAAATTAAATTTGAGACAAAGAGGGCAATTTGGGAAGATAAAAATGAGGAGAATAATTTATGGATCTGACAGAAAATAATTACAGAGGCCAGAACACTGTAATTATAGAAAAGAAATTAAACCCGGAGTCAAAGTGCACCGATAAAGAAAGACTAGAGTCTTGCAATTCAAATGGTTCACATTTAGCCATGTGTCAAGCCTCTAATGGATGGTAATTAAAGTTTTCCACGTGTCAAGCTACTAATAGAGAGGATTTTGACTTTGGAATTTAATTACATTATGATTTAAGTTAATTAAGAGAGAGGATTAAGACTAAGTAAGCTTTTGACACATGGCATAGCATTAATGTTAGTTGGTGAGATATTTCTGGTGCCTTAATTGAGCTTTTCCTCCCCCATAATCAGATTACATTTCGGCCTAAGAGAAAAGAGAGAGAGCAAGAGTGATTTTGTGAAGGGATCAAGCAAAAAAGCAAGCATATTTGATCTTCCAACTAAGATTCAAGTTTGGTAAGTTGTTCTAAGATGTTCCTTGCTTTGGTTTATCAATTTGTATGGTTGGAAAAATCACTTCTTGTCCCTTCTTGTTGCTGGCCAAAATGGGTATAGTGTAGGGAAGGAGGTTTTGCTGCAAAATATTGTTAGAATACTATGATTTAAGATGTTTCAAGTGGTCCAAGATGTTGTTGGAAATTTTTCATGGTGGGTTGTTTGTTAGAGGACCTTTCGGCCACTTTCAAAACTAAACCCTGGGATTTGTTTTTCAAAGTTTTGAGGCTTCCATTGGTTTCAAAATGAAAAATGGTATAGGATGAACCTAAAGAACATGTGTTGGAAGCCATAGAATCAAATATGCAATTTTTAGATTTTTAACCCTAATGGTTTTAATTAAATTCGAAGTAGATCCGATAGTAAGGTGTGACATTTTTGGTATCAGAGCGGAGGTTTTGGCATAGGATAGAATGCTCTGCTTAGTTAATATGTCAGTTAAAAATTTGACATATTGTTGCAGGAATTGTGATGGAAAACACCATAGATTGGGATGCTAGATCTGAGAAGTCGGTTAATGATTAGGATACTAACATAATTGATCTCACAATAGAGGAGCTAGTGGGATGGACTATGGGGATTGCTAACCCAGGATACTTAACGAAGGAGTCCAACAATTATTAAGAGCATGGGGCTAACCTTTTAGGGGTTACTGTTGAGGATTTAATGAACCTTCCTAGACCTAGTAACATGGTGGATCCCACAATTGATATGTATCAGGAACCAATGTGTCACACCTTACTATTATATTGACTTAAGTTCCTTTCAAAATCATTTTAGAGCACATTGGATGGTCTTGGGCTCACTTTTTACCATAAAATGCTAAATTTCGGATTTT